GCCTGTAGTATAGGATAGAGGCCTGGTGCACGGGTGGGGGCCAGCTGGTTTGCCCTGAAAGTGTCCCGGATCAGGGTGGGGGTCCTGCTTGGGTGCCTGGCCAGCCTGGATGACAGGCTGAAGGCTGTTTTCAGGCTGGAGGGCAACTTAAGCTCCCAGCCTCTCCTTTTTTTCTTTTTTCTTTTAATTCTGGGATTTATTTACCTTCTATAGCTGTCACTGGAGCTGAGAGTCAGCTCCAGCTCTGAGGGCTGTAAGCAGGTTTCTGGGTCTGTTTGGCGTCTATAATTGAAACTCTGTTGCCATCACAACAGCTCTAAGCTCTGAGACCGAAGGTGGCTGAAAGCAGGTTTCTAGGTTTGTTTGGCTTCTATAATTAAAACTCTGTTGCCATCACTGCAGCTCTAAGCTCCGAGGCTGAAGTTGGCTGAAAACAGGTCTCTGGAGCTTGTTTAGCTTCTATAATTGCAACATAGTTGCTTAGAGTGCAGCTCAGAGTTGGGCTGTGGCAGGCGGGGAACCTTGGCTTCCTCCGTCACTGGAGCAAGCAAGCCTCCTGTTCGTTTCAGCTGCATGGCTGCTGGCCGCCATCTTGGTTGGCAGTTAATTTGCATATCCTGCTGATTAGCCCATGGGAAGGGTGTTGGGGTTATGGTCAATTTGCATGTTTCTCTTTTATTAGCTAGGATAATGTTTCGTATTGTAGGAAATATAGAAAATAAATGTACAAACAAAATAAAAATTACTTGTGATCCCAGGCCATAGAAGTAAACATTTTTTCCTTCATATCTATGTGTGTACTCTATATTCTGTTTTAAAAATAGTCTTCTACAAAAGCTGTATTCCAAGATTGCCCCCTCCTCTGCTGCCTGCCAGGGCCTCATCCAGAAAGCCATGTGGCATAGACACTTCAGCCCTGAGGTTACCCAGATTCTGACCAAGGGACAGAGAGGCCCCACTTCTCACCTGAAGTTTAAGTTTGTTATTTGGCTCACCGTGCCTTTCTAGTCGGGCTAATCGTGTGGACTCTGGAGCGTGAGTTCATACCCATTTGCACCTCCTACTAACACTGTGGCTTTAAGTCATTTCACTTCTTTGAGCAGGACATGTAATAATAGGTCTGACTTCCAAAAATAAATTAAATCGTCTTCTAAAACATGAGCCTAACTTTACCTTAACATGACATTGCTTGGAGATATCATAGTTTGACTATTCTTTTCTAATTTAGGTTGTTTCCAAATGTTTAGAATTAAAATACTTAAATTTTGTGCAGAGATCACTTGGGGAGTGATATGAGTAAGTACTTGCTGTGGTTCCCCCCCCCCTCCCCCCTAAAATCTCAACGTCACCCATGCAGTTTTATATTTGTAAGTTGTTCGGAGGAGGTGGTTGGTCAGTCTACAGACCAGCTCTGGCTCTGAGCAAACCCCAGGCCTGAAGCCCACCATTGGAGGGACGACTCTTCAAATCCTCCCCAGTGGGGAGCTTTCAGTCTAAGGTGCGGAGGAAATGACACATGGGTTAGTCATCCTATGTTTTGGCAATTAAATTACAGGGGGAAAAACGGTAAACATTGTGTGGCAGCCACTTTTGAAGAGCAGACAGATTCCCTGTGGGGAGGCTTCTTCCCTCCCCGCTTCCACTTCCCCCCTTTGATGTTGGGTGGGGGCGCTGTGCTGTCGCTGTCACCTCCAGCACCGCATCGCTGTGGCTCACTGCCCGCCAGCCCTTCCACGCCAGGTGGTGTTGAATCATAAAAGCAAGATTGTATTTCTTCCCTTAAAGATTGACCCGTATTTGTTTTCATTTTAATTAAAAACAGAACAACGCTTGAACCTTTATCATCCAGCTACAGCAACCAGCAGCGTTTCCCCATCCTCCCCTCCCAATTTCGCTGAAGGACATTTTGGAAGACAAACCCTGACAGACCTATGTCATTGTGTCATTTCAGCCCTACATATCTCAGTGGGCACCCCTAACTAAACGCACCAGTTTCTTAGTTAACTTTGATACCATTATTGCACCTAATAAAATGAATAAAAGTGACACCGTGGGATTTTTCTTTGTCATAACATGTCACTTAAGGTTTAGAATGCAGTAATCATGTGTAGGTTGATTCACATATAATTTCGCTCTGTTATCTAGAAAATACTACACTTGCTCTTCTCTTACTAAAGCAGAATTTCATTGTACTAAGAAAAGAGGCATTTAATGTTTACCAGCCGGTATCTTGGCGGCTTAGAAAGGGTTAGTGCATATTTATATGCACAATCATTTGTTTGTACTCTAGTTACCCTAGTGCTGCTCTATTTGAGTGCTCAAAATTAATGCCTCCAATGATGGGACAAGTCAAAAACGAGTGGCCAGGACCTGGTGGAGCTAGGGTGTTTGTCTTATTTTATTTTATTTGTGAGAGAGCAAGGGAGAGGGAGAGAGAAAGAGAAACATCAGTGCTAGAGCACATCAATTGGCTGCCTCCCAAACGCTGTGCATCCCAGGCATGTGCCCCAGACCAGAAACTGAACCAGGATGATGCCCAACCAACTGAGCCACACTCCCCAAGGCTGGGTGTTTGTCTCTTTTAAAGGGGCGGTCACCACATCACTGGCTCTTTGAGAATGCCTGCTGGTTTGGTTACCATGTCTTCCACTTTTCAAAAGAAACTGTAAATTGGATTGTTTTGTTTAAATTAAAGCCTTTAAAAACAGGAAATAATGCACTTTTTAAATTAAAACCCTGTGCATTATGTGCTTCCCACCATATGCTTCACTCTTATAATTTTCATTTAATTATCAGCATGGACCTGAGAGGAATGTACTTACTGCCAGAAAGCCCAAGAGATATAGCTCTCACCTCCAGTTCAACAAACACATTTACCTTTGCCCCAAACCTGTTTGCTCTCCAGGCTTCCCTTTCTGTCTATATTGACCTCAGTGTTCCAATCATTTCTGAACTCAAAATTTTAGTGATTATTTCTCCTCTTGTCTTTTCCACCACAAACTATAGTCTCTTCATAATTTTTTGTGATGAATTCTCCGGGTTTTCTTTCTCTTCCTTCCCCTTTTAGCCAGCTCGTTTCTAGCCCTACCAATGCTCCTCTGACACAGATTCTCCCTGTGTTCTAGTTCCTGTCATTACCCAACCAGGTTGACCCACTTTCTCAAATACCTCTTTCAAATACTTCATTAAGTCTCTTCTCTAAACATTTTTTGGATCCCTGTTGCCTACAGTAAAAATCCCACAACTTTTGCCTAGATGTCCAGGCTGCAGAATAGTTTCATCGTAGTTATCCAACCACATTTCCCCGGTATTCTAACCCCATCTTCTTAAGGTCAACTCTCCCTCCACCCAACTTCCTGGCCAGGACTGTTCAGAACCTTGTGGAAATTTCTGGAGAATGGGTGGATCC